ACCTGAATTTGTCCAACATTGAAACTTCATTCTCAAATTCAGATAAATCGCCACTTTTTAAACTTTCATTTCCACTCTGTTTCATTTTCTTTATTGCCACGACGTTCCCTCTAAAAGTTCCTTTGTAAACAATACCAAAGGAACCTTCACCAAGCACCTTCTCTTCAATTAGTTCCTTGTAATTTAATTTGGTTGATTCTTCAGTTTCAACAGAAAATGGGAAGTTAGTCATTGTAGTGATTCCAGTGAGTAAGTTAAGAGAAACTATCACAAAATTGTCTTGAGTTTTCAATGTGCATTTTGGAGTGATAAATATTTCAAATTCACAAGCATATCCGCTCTTCATTGTGACTATTTTTGGTTCTGTTCTGATGTCATATTCATCACAATTTTCACGAGTTGTTATTTGTATCTTCATGTTCCCTTTTCCTTGTGTCCCCACACACAACAATTCTCGTGTTGATTGTTCAACTGGAATTTTGACATCATTTTCATTGAAAGATAAATCACTTTTGTTCACTAAAATGTCATTGTCCAATTTCTTCATTGTAACGTTTGATCTCTTGATTTTAAAAACGCATATATTTGTCATTTTCTTTTCTTCCTTTTTCTTAAAAATAAGAACAAAAAGCGTGAGTATAATAATAGTCAGTATTATTATAACAATACAGACTATTATCACTGGGATACCAATATACAAAAAGTACTTATTTTGTTTCACACACAAATTTTGGTCGTCATTTAATTTGTAATTTTTTGCACATTGCGAGCACTTCGAATAACTCGATGAAATGCAGTTATCCATTGAGGAATAGATGAGACACTCACCATTTTGTAATATGTAGTTATCCTCACACGAACTGCAGTCTTCATTTGCATCACAAGAGGTGCAATTATCTTTGCACTTTTGACATTCATTTTGATATATAAAATATCCAAATTCACATAAAGTGCATCCACTTCTCGTTTTATTTACACAATGAATTAATTCATTTTGGTTGAGACACAAAGAGTGTGAATTGGATTGATAATAATTTTCTGAACATGACAGACACATCTTTTCGTTCATACACGTCTCACAAGATATATCACATTTATTACACTGTTTGCCATCCATTGATTTGTAATACCCATCTTTACATTTGACACAGCCCGTGTATGTGGACATCATGACCTCACACACTTCAATGAGAGAGTTGATCTCTTCACATGTCCCATCTTTGTTGTTTGAATATGCATTACAACCAGTACAATATGTCTGATTCGAGCATTTAACACAGGGCTCTTCACATTTTTTACATGTCATTTTGTCTAAATAATAACCATCTAAACATCGAAGACATCCACTTTCTGTTAATTCAAAACAATTGTGTGTTTCATTTGAATCTGCTTTGATATTTTTATTAGTACACTTTAGATATAAACTGTATTCCTTTTGTACAGCTTTTTTATTGCATTTTCCATCTTCAAGATTATACTCATTGTCACAATGAACGCAACTCTTTTCAACAACAGAAATATGCGTGCAATTTGGATACTGTTCTTTGGATACACATGAGTGTTCTTCTTTGTAGTACCCATCTTCACACCTTTTACATGTATATGTAAACAATCCACAGTTGATTTCGTCATATGTATAACACAACCCATCCGATAGAATGCCATCTTTACATGCAAGACATTCATTACCATATTGAATAAGGCATTTATTGTTATTTAGCACACATAATCCTTGTTGGATGTAATAATTGTCTATGCATTTTATACATTCACTTGACTCTGTTGTTTCACACTTTTCATCATTCAGACAGTCAATTTTTTCATTTAAAATTTTGTTGCCAGAACATCTCAAAATAATGATGGTTTTGTCTTTATTAATACAAACAGTTGATTCATCACATTTTTCCACTGAAATATTCGCAATGTAAAATCCCTCTGTTGGTATATAACAATAATTATTTTGTGATATCACACAATTTGCAATGAGTTCATTACAGTCGTCGCCTTTCTTGATATTTTGGCATTGAAGACACTTTTTGTTTTCATTTGTTTTTTGATATTTACACGTCATATTTTGTTCGAAAAAACAATTCCAATTTGTTGTTATTATATCATTTTCACACACATCACACGTCACTGTTGATTTTTGAGTGCAATTTCCTTTGATGTTATAACACTCTCCCTTTTCTATAATTAACGAGTCATTGCACTTAATACATGTCTTATCGACTTGTTTGATACATCCAACTTGATTTGGTGAACCGTTATTTGTTGTTGAATTGTAGTGGTAGCTGTTATTATTAGCATCAATACACGACAATTTATTATCATTCAAAATGTATGGCGCAAAGCAGAGAGTGCATTGAATAATTCCATTATTGTAATCACACGTCTTACAATTCGGAATTTTTTCATAACAATTGACACAACTTACAGTCCCACTTTTGACCATCCCTTCTGCACATAATGCACAACTGTCGCCAGTTGATATATAACTTCCACTACACTCGTAACAACTTTTAGTTGTTTTTGAACATCTTATACATTTTGTGTTAATTTCGGTACACAAATAACAGGAACCTTCATACAAATAATTATCTTCTTCACATGAAGAACACTTTCTTGCACTTTCAATTATATTTGAATCACAGGAAAGACACTTCCCTGTATCAGAACAAGACACACATTCGTCGCCGACTCGCTTTAACCCATTTTTACAGGAAGAACACGTGCCACTTTCTTTGATACACGTTTGACACTCTGATGGACAATTTACACACACGGAATTGCCTCCAAGTGAGTACTTACCCTCTTCACATGAGGTACATACACTATTTATTAATTCATGTCCAGCAACACATGTAATACAGTTTCCAGTCGTTTTTGAACAAGTTTGACAAATTGAGTCACAGGGTTTACACACAAGTTGACCAGTTTTGTCCTGATATGTTCCTTCACTACAACTTGTACATTTTCCATTAGAAAGTGATGTACCTATTGGACATAAGTTACAATTACCGTTTGAATTCAATGCATTGCCAGAATAACATGATGTGCATTTCCCATTTGTTTTGTCACAAGTCAAACAAGATGAATCACATTTAAAACACACAGAAGTTCCAGATGAAGACCAATAATTTGTTGGACATTGATCACAAGAAGATGCACCATCTAATGAATAAGTACCAGCAGGACAAGTAAGACAATATGATTGTTTTAAATTTGTATATGTACCAGCTAAACATATTGAACAATTTCCATTATTTAATATATACCCAGAAAGACAATCTACACAATTACCTGTCTTTTTCTCACATGGACTTTTACAAATACCGTTACATGGAGTACATGATATACTTCCCGTAATATTCGAAAAGGTTCTATCAGAGCATTCCATACAATTTGAAGTATTTGTGGATGATGAAAATGTACCTGTTTGACATTGTGAACACTCGTAATTTTGACTGTAATACCCCTTTGCACATTCTACACAGGTTTTTCCATTTTTAGCCATCCCGTCAAAACACGACAAACAATTTCCATTTGTGTTATCACAGCTTTTACAGCTGGTGTCGCAATTTGTACATACACTTTTACCTCCAGTTGAATATGTTAATAAAGGACACGTTACACATTTGTTATTTGAAGAGCACGTTCCAGCAGAACAAGCTACACAATTACCTCCAGAAACTATATAACCAGAATAACATGTTAGACATTGACCAGTGGTTTTAGAACACGTTTTACATAATGAATCGCAATTGGTACAAGTCGAAGAACCAGAATGTGATGAATACGTTCCTTCTTCACATTGAGAACAGGAATTCTGTCCTCCTTTTGAATAATATCCAGCATCGCACGCAAGACACTGACCAGAAGTTGAAACAAAATTATATCCAGAATAACATGAAGTACATTTCCCATTTTCATTATTACAAGTTTTACAAGATGAATCGCATTTGGTACAGGAAGAAGATGTCGTTGTAGACCAATAATTTGTTTGACAAGTGATACAAAAAGAAGCTCCACTTTGTGAATAAGTACCAGCAGAACAACTTGAACAGTATTGTTGTTTTGAATCTGTACATGTTCCAGCTGGACATATTTTACATTTTCCATTGTTTAAAACATACCCAGAAATACAATCATTACAATTACCATTTGTGTTGGAACATGAACTTTTACATGTACTACTACACTGTGAACAATAACTATCGCCTCCAGTGGAATATGTTAATGTAGGACACGTTTCACATACACCATTTTCAGAGTACGTTCCAGCAGGGCATTCAAGACATGAGAATTGACA